CAAGAATGGATCAAAATTGTAATGGATTGCACTCCATGTTCATATAATATGTCAAAATATACCCTACTGTCATGTTTACCTAAAAACAACAAATAATTTTTTTTAAATTTCCCTTTCACCACTCTTTTAAAACGTGAGTAAAAGATTAATCGGATGCTTTTAATCATTTAAATAGGTCATGAAGCATCTTTTCAAAGGACTCATATGTAGGTTAAAGAAAACTATTTTCATCCAAATGTAAGGGAAAAAAAAGTAACAATATAACCCAGTTATAATTTGTGTATTAAGAAAATGACATAGAGAAGATCAACAAAATGTGATCTGTAAGATATTTGTCCCCAGATGGTATGTTCTCTTAGCTGAGAGACTACAGAAGATTAACTCACCCCTTCTGTTTTGGTTTCACACTCAGATCATGAACTTCTAATAATATGTCTTTTTGTGGTAGTCACTCATGGGAAGAGAATGTTCTGGGCCACAAGGCACAAGCTTTCCAGTTTGCTTTATAGCTCAGGTTATATTTGTGAATTTAAATGTCAGTATTCTTATTTATGCAAAAACGTGTTCTTGTATACACATTTGCTTGTTTAACTAGCTAGTTAGTTAATATAGTCATAATAACCACACTCAACTCTTAAGCATGTGTGTTTTTCCTCCCTTTTGGGGAGAGGGGCATGAGAGTGAATAACACAGGGAACTTTATATTTTCTCTAATACTTGAAATTTTTTACAACAGTCATGCTTAACTTTTAAAACCATAGATGCATTTAATTGCTGTATTCAATTATAAAAATTGAGAAGTTAAAAAAAATTCCTCAACAAAGTCCCCAAATGCATCTCTCAATATCCCACATGCCCAGACTAGCAGAAAGAAATTTAATTTTCCTAAGCACAGTCTATCCACCGGAACACCTATTTCTCTCCAAAAATCCCCTGCCTGTGCTGATATCCAGAGGACAAGCCCTGGCTCGATGCTCCTGAGTCCCTAGTACGGAAGCTTTGAGTGCCCCCTTGAGGCTTAAGTACTCCACAGCACTACCCAGCTCTGGCTGTTTGAGAAGATGCAACCCACAAAGGTGACTTGGTGTCAGAGCTGAGACCGGACAGTTCCTTGAGATCATCTTGTCACTGCTGTTTTTGGTGACCTTTAAGTTCTTTGTGAAAATCGTTTCTCTCACTGGAAAAAAAAAGAATATAAAGGTCATCCTCATCAAACACTAAACTTCTACTAGTTCTCCCCCTCCCTCCTTCATCTCTCATCACCCTCCTTAAGCTTGTCACCCTCTCTCTCTTCTTCCCCCTCCCTCCTCCACACACATCATTGTTGTCCAGTATTGTAATCACACCGTCTAATTTATAGCTTCACCCTCAGCATGCTGACAAAAATCAGATTTCCACACCTACAGAATGAAGACCAGAGCCCAGGTCAGAACTAACTCATCAGAGTAAATGCCATCCCCTGGGGAGCTGGGAGCTGGGCAAATTCTCCTTGTGACATTCTCCTTGTCTCAATGTGCAATGAGAATCTAATCTCCAGGACGTGGTAATAAGCTAACATTTATTGAACATTTAACATATGCCAGGAAATGTTCTCTGAATTTAATTTTATATATAATTCATTTAAACTTTACAACATCCCTCCCTGATAGGTGCTATCCCTCTTTCCATTGTATGGATGAGAAAAACCGAGGTCCAAGGAGCCTCCAGCCAGGCCTTGTGCTCTGGTACAGGTTGATGCCACATGAGTTCTCAGCTTCTTATAAGAAAGGAGCATGAGAGCCAGGCACAATGGCACACAACTGTAATCCCAGTGGCTAGAGAGGCTGAGGCAGGAGAATCGTGAGTTCAAAGCCAGCCTCTCAGCAACTTAGCGAGGCCCTAGGCAACTCAGTGAGGCCCTGTCTCTAAATAAAATATTAAAAAAGGGCTGGGGGGCTGGGGATATAGCTCAGTTGGTAGAGTGCTTGCCTTGCATCCACAAGACCCTGGGTTCAGTCCCCAGCACCACACACACACACACACACACACACACACACACACACAAAAGGGTTGGGGATATGGTTCAGTAGTTAAGCATCTCTGGGTTCAATCCCTAGTACCAAAAAAAAAGTGAGGGGGCATGATATTTGTATGGGGTGATTCTGTCAAAATCACCTGCTACCTCTCATGCATAAGGCCCTGGGTTCAATCCCCAGTACCACAAAAAAAAAAAAAAGAAAGAAAGAAAAAGAAAAAAATCACCTACTAAAGAGCTCTGCAGTCTGTACCTAGAATAGGTTAAGTCCAGGCTTTTCATGCTGGGCTGCACATACTTCCTAGACAGGCAGAGTGCCATGGATTAGCCATGCCAATATGGTGCAATAATATGCATTATTCAGGAGTATCCAGGAGTATCAATTTTCCTTCAAGCTTTTTTTTTGAGAATTATTATTTTATAGTAAAACCAATTGATGAGTTAAGGAGTATAAATGCAACATTTTGTGTTTTTAAAATAAAAATAAAGGAAAAGGAAAGTGAAAACATCCCCCTGGTGAAGGGTTGTATCATGGAATCTTCTAGGACTTCTAGTTAACTTGCATTCCTGCAACTGTATCACCTGCTGGCAGGGTTGGCTTCATGGGTATGAGACCTGCGTAACTGTAAACATACTTACCATTTTGAAAATCTTTGAATTTTAAACTAGGGGCTGTGCATTTTCATTTTGGATTGGGTCCTGCAAATTAGACAGCTGATCCTACCAAGGGATCTTGTTAATTTGAAGGTCTTGATTGAGTATATTTAGGGTAAGGTGGAGTTTCTGCAATTCTGACAAGCTCTTAGTCATGCCTGCTGTTGGTCCAAGGACCATGCCTTGAGTGGCAAGACCTGGCCTTTCTCTCTTTTTTCCTATTTGTAGAATCAACTGGGGAAGAGAGGAGTAAATCACTGTGACCAAAGTCATAGAAATTAAAAACTTGGGTTTTTGCCAAGCCCTAAAAAACAAATGTCAAATGTCTTCTTTGATATAAAGAGAGCCACTAAGAATAGAACAGGAAGGAAGAGCATGAGGAAAAGACTAACAGTAAATTAAGACGAATGGGGGGAGAGAAAGGAAGAGAGAAGGGAAAACATATGGAAATGGTAGGAGACCTTCAGTGATACACAAAATTATAAGAGGTTATGAGGGGCAAGGGGGTGGGGGGAAAAAAGGGGAGAGAATTGAACAACAGCAGAGGAGGTAGAGAGGGAAGATGGGAGGGGAGGGGAGGGGAGGGGGGATAGTAGGGGATAGGAAAGGTAGCAGAATACAACAGTCACTAATATGCCATTATGTAAAAATGTGAGTATGTAACAGAAGTGAGTCTGTATTATGTATTTGGGGAGTTCAAAATCCAATTGAGTCGAATGTATGAAAGATGATATGTCTTGAGCTCTGTAATGTTTTGAACAATCAATAAAAAAAAAAAAACTTGGGTTTTTATCACGACTTTCTCTGTAAAAAATCCACAAATTTATTATTCTCCTTATGGCTCAATTTCCCCATCTGCAAAATGCAAATAAGAGTCATAAGATCACTTTAAGGATTAAATGTGTGTGAAGCTTCTCACTTTCAGAGTGCTCAATAAAGACAAGTACTTTATGGGCTGGGGTTGTGGCTCAGAGGTAGCATATGTGAAGCCCTGGGTTTGATCCTCATATAAATAAAGAAAATAAAGGTATTGTGTTCACTTACAACTAAAAAAAAAAAAAAAGAAAAAAAAGAAAAATACTTTAAATGCCTTAAATGGTAGCTAAGCTTAAATCCCCAAAAGAAAAGAAAACATAATGAGGAAATAACCTCTTTCATTTTCCAGTCTTGCACCTGGGAAAAAATACTCTCAGAAACAGCAATTCTACTAAAGAGAGCTCATAGAACCTGCTTATACTTTATGGAAACACACTTTGCCCACTCCATGGGAAATGCAATCAGTAACAAGAGTTATAAATACTATGCGAGTTTGCTAGGTTTGTTATAACAAAGTGGTTCAGAAAGGGCAGCTTAAACAATAGAAATTTGTTTTCCATAGTTCTGGAGGCTAGGAGTCCAAAATCAAAATATTGGCAGGGTTGGCATAGCTCTGGCCTCTTTCCTTTACTTGAAGATGGTCGTTGTCTTCTTTTGGGATGTCATAACAGATTGGCATAGACTGGGTGTCTTAGATAACACTTATTCCCAAAGTCAAGGAAGCTGGGAAGTCCAAGACAACGGTGCCAGTAGACCCAGCGTGCAGTGAGAGCCCCCTTCCTGGCTTACAGATGGCTGTTTTCTCATTGTATCCTCAAATGACAGAGGTCATGTGTCCCTTCTTACAAAAGCACTAATCCCAAGGTGAGAACTCCACCCCCAAACTTAATTACCTCCCAAAGGCCCAACCTACTAATACTATCCCTGGGCATTAGGTTTCCAGCATGAGAATTCAAGGAGAAAAATAGACACTTGGTCCATAATAGTCACCCTCTTCCTCTGTCTTCACAAGTTCTTCCCTCTGTATATATCTGTCCTCATCTCCTCTTCTTGTAAGGACACCAGTCATTGGATTAGGGCTCATCTTTATGAACTTATTTTACCTTAATTGCCTCTTTCAAGACCCTATCTCCAAACACAGTCACATTCGAGTTATTAGGGGTTGGGACTTTAACATATGAACTGGGGGTCAGGGAGATGGCTATATAATTCAGCCCATAACAAATACAGAGAACAAAACCAAATGGAAAAAGTATCAATGGACCAATGGGAAAGCCATTCTTAATTGTGGCATTCATTGCCACTTATTCTTAAGTGAACACTACTTATTAAAAATTTTTCTTTGGGGCTGGGGATGTGGTTCAAGCGGTAGCGCGCTCGCCTAGCATGCGTAAGGCACTGGGTTCGATTCTCAGCACCACATAAAAATAAAATAAAGATATTGTGTCCACCTAAAACTAAAAAATAAATATTAGAAAAAAAATTTTTTTCCTTCCGTGGTAGCATGTGCAAAGGGCTTTTGAGTCCAAAAGAGCTGGTTTTGATTCTCTGTTTGGTCCCTGATCGCTGAAAGCATGGGCAAATACTTTTTGCCTCTGGGCCTTAGTGTTCTTATAAAATGAGAATAACAATAATACCTACTTCATAGGGTTATTGTGAAGATTAAATTAAAGAATTTTTGTGTAACAATTTTTTTCCCCATTCTTATTTGGCAAAAGAAACTGTTGGCAGTTTGGCAGAGATGACCTTTGAAGATATCTTTACAGCTTCCTTACCTAGGGAAACATCCAGGGGGCCTGAGCGATGACCTTGGCAATGAGCCCACTATGTGGGTGTGGCCCACCTTTAAAGTTTAAATAACAGAGGAGACTCCCTGGGAGGACAGAGCTAGGCGCCAGTTTGCAGAGCAAGCTCAAAGATATTCTCAGGGGAAAGACTATTCCCTTTCTCTCCTCCCAAACCTTCTCCCTGAAATGTAGAATTAGAGAGATATATTGGGAAGAATCTGGGCAACCCAAAGAGAGTTCCAAGAAAGAAAAGGCAATGGATTCAAGGAGGTAAGCAGATATGGGAATTGTAGCCAGCCTTGACAGTGAACCAGAAAGGATATTATCAGATGCTGATTCTGGGTCCTTCAAGGGCTGGATGCTTTAGGCCAGTATAGTTGATAAATAAACTGGTGGCTAAAAGCAACTTTAGAGGCTCAGCTCTTTTAAGGGTGACAAGGGACATCTGCACTGATGAAGACACTTCCCTGGAAAGCTGAGTGAGCCACTGAGTTGGTGAATTGGGGTCCCACTCCTGCTGCAAGGCTCTGACCCCCTATCACAAGCAAAAGAGACTGGGAGGCACATCAGCATCAGCCCTTCTGTGGCCATCTTGTGATGCTATGGAGAAGCTAGGGCATCTCGTCACCATTATGGAGCAGACTGGCTCCCTAAGGACATGGAAAAGAATAAGAATCTGGGATGAGAACCTTGGCGAAGAGCCCACTAAATGGGTGTGGCCCACCTTCAAAGAGTTCCTCCACCCCGTCAATCAGCAGATTCCACTCTAGCAACTGTGGTTATGTAGGAGCAGAGAACTGAGAACTAGCTCCTGGATTTGGCCACTGTCCACCATGGCCAGCTTCCACCATCCTCAGTACAATCAACCCAATTAAATAAAATCAAATCAGTCTGAACTTCTCCACC